AATAGCTAAAATTACAGTAAAAAAACTGCGATTGCCAACCCGCTCGCCAAGCGTGGCAACTATGACAAATACCCCCCAATGATTAGAGCAACAAACAGACGGCCCCCAGTCCCCGGCGCCCCGCTATTCCTGGCTACGGTGGCGACCATGGTAACGGCGGGGCAGGGGGTGCTAAGAATCTCCGGTGGAGGTTCGGTTGCCACCCTAGACGACTCGACCTGGCAACGTACAACACACGCACCCTGAGGACTGACGAGAAGATCGTGGAGCTGGAAGAAGAGATAGACAAGTTGCGCTGGCATATTATAGGACTATCTGAAGTCCGAAGAGAGGGGGAGGACACGGTAATCCTCGAATCCGGCAACTTGCTCTATCACCGGGAGGGCGACCATCTGTCCCAAGGAGGTGTCGGATTTATCGTCCACAAGTCTCACGTTAACAACGTTGTAAAGATCGGGAGTGTGTCGACGAGGGTTGCGTCCCCCTCGTGCTCTGTTCCAAAGTCCTGAAACCTTTCAGCTCGAATTACAAAACCGTTTTCAGTGCCTAGAAGACTGCAATGAAGTGGACGATATGAATGACAAGCTCGTGGAAACTGTCCATGCGGTCGGAGCTAAGTTCTGCAAGACCCGCCGCAGAAGAACACAAAAACTCTCCAATCACACTCTTAATCTCATGGCTGTTAGACGAGAGATGAAGCTATATTCTTCAACAGATTTGACAGCATACAGGCAACTGAACAGACAGATCTCCAAATGCATGCGGCGGGACTTACGCAACTTCAATACAGCTTGTATTGAAGAAGCGAATGAGCGGAAACAAGGCTCCAAAGTCTTTGCCAGAGATCTGTGTGCCAGAAAGAGTACCAACTATCAAAGCTGAAGACCGAATGTGGCAGCATCGTTTCCGGGACACCTGAGATTTTGAGTGAGATTGAGAGTTTATATGGGCAGCTGTACACGTCATCGTTGGAGCCACTCGCAAGTGTGAGTAACGATCCAAGAGCGAGTCTTATCCGACACTATTCCGAAGATATCCCGGACGTCAGTCTGAGCGAGATTAGAATGGCTCTCCAGCACCTTAAAAACGGCAAGACCCCAGGCAAGGATGGAATTACAGCGGAGCTTCTGAAAGCGGGTGGAAGACCGGTACTTGAAGTCCTTCAGAAGCTCTTTAATTCCGTCCTCCATGGTGGCATTACACCGGAGGCGTGGAGCAGAAGTGCGGTGGTCTTGTTCTTCAAGATAGGTGACAAAGCTCTCTTGAAGAACTACAGACCGATTTCCCTCCTGAGCCGCGTCTACGTGCTGTTGTCGAGAGTCATTACGAATCGTCTCGCGCGCAGACTTGACGACTTCCAGCCTCCCGAACAAGCCGGTTTCCGAAAGAGCTTTAGCACCATAGACCACATACATACCCTTCGGCAAATTGTACAGAAGTCCTAAGAGTACAATTTGCCACTATGTCTGGCGTATGTGGACTATGAGAAAGCCTTTGATTCCGTCGAAATTTGGGCTGTGCTGCAGTCCCTTCAGCGATGCCATGTTGACTGTCGGTATATCGAAGTGCTGAAGTGCTTGTACAGTAGAGCTACGATGGCTATCCGAGTACAGAACCAGAGTACGAAACCTATCCAATTGCAGAGAGGTGTAAGACAGGGTGATGTTATATCCCCGAAACTCTTCACCGCTCCATTGGAAGATGTTTTCAAGCTTCTGGACTGGAAAGGATACGGTATTAACATCAATGGCGAGTACATCACTCACCTTCGATTTGCCGACGATATAGTCCTTATGGCAGAATCGCTGGAGGACCTAAGCACTATGCTCAATGACCTCAATAGTGTCTCCCTACGGATAGGTCTTAAGATGAACATGGACAAAACAAAGATTATGTTTAATGTCCATGTCACACCTATGCCGGTAGTTGTTGGGGAGTTGTTGACGAGTATGTTTACCTGAGACAAATAGTCCGACTAGGTAAGTCCAACTTCGACCGAGAGGTCAATCGACGGATTCAACTCGGCTGGGCAGCGTTCGGGAAGCTACGACACATCTTCTCGTCAGACATACCTCAAAACCTTAAAACGAAATTGTACAACCAGTGCGTGTTGCCAGTGATGACTTACGGAACTGAGACGTGGTCCTTCACTGCTGGCCGTATGAGGAAGCTCAAGGTCGCTCAGCGAGCTATGGAGAGGGCTATGCTCGGAGTTTCTCTGCGTGATAAACTTAGGAATGAGGATATCCACAGTAGAACCAGAGTAACCGACATAGCCCAACGGATTAGTAAGCTGAAGTGGCAGAGGGCCGGCCATATAGCTCGAAGAACCGACAACCGATGGGGAAGAAAGGTTCTTGAGTGGCAGCCTCGTACCGGCAGGCGAAGTGTAGGGCGACCCCCCACGAGATGGAGTGACGACCTGGTAAGACATGCAGGAAGTCGATGGATGCAGGTGGCTCATGACCGTGCTTTGTGGCATTCCTTGGGGGAGGCCTATGTTCAGCAGTGGACTTATGAAAGGCTGTAATGATGATGATGATGATGTAATCAACGTGCACTCGCTATGAGAATAAAACAATAATGAATCAATTGAGGGAGGGTGGGAGGCGCTCTTCAATCCAGGTAAGACACATCATTGTGTTTAGTTAGCAAATAATTAGTAAATTAATTAATATCTTCATTGTAATGGATTTACGATGTTAGGTTTTCGGGTCTTAGGTTTTTTTCGGTACGGAATTTCTTGATTCGGTCACCGCGCTCAAAGCCCTCGATAAAAGCTATGCAATAGCTTAAATACGTTTATTAGCACTAACCACAATGAAATTAGGCTAAACAAGTTGTATTATTAGAAATTAATCATATAGATGCGGCAATACCATCAGTATCTCGCAAACGCTCTGAATATAATGCTCAATAACTCAAATGGAAGTGGAAGTACACTTATTCCCGCAGGATAGAACTGTGAGTATGTAGACGTTAATTTGGTTAAACTAAAAATGTTGTGCCATTTGTGATTAATTATTTTAGTGTTGTAGTTAGATTGAATTAGTGAGAGAATTGGGGTCTTCAGCGGCATGGCTCGAGTGAATGCGAGAGCAAGTGACGCAGAAGCCCCAATCCACATCTACTAATAATAAAACTGTATCATCTGCAAAAGCGAACAATTTTCTTTTAACTAGTTTCAGGTTACACAAATCATTCACATAGATCAAAAATAAGCTAGGTCCAAGTATACTTCCCTGGGGAACGGCATAAGAAATATATTGAGAGTCACTTATCACATCGTCAATTTTTACACGTTGGGTTCGATTTTTTAGATAACTACCAAATAAATTTAAAGCGATTCCCCTTATCCCTATTCTTTTCAACTTATTCAACAACAACGGGACAGAGACAGTATCAAATGGGTATACACATCTATCTTATCAAAAATAATTGTAATTGATGATATTTTTTGCGAATACTGCACACCGAATGAAAAAATGTAATTATCAATTTTGTTGGTGCCGGATTGGAATGGTAGATCTTTGTCTAACACAACCCGGATAGCGTACTGTGAAATTTATTTTTTCGGAATGATCGTTTGTGGGGATCATCCACTATGAAATGATATTTAAGCTATTATTGATATTTTACCAAAATTTGTTATTTGGTAGTAGGTATTATTATGTATTAAAAAAAAATCCCTCTTTTAAATTGCTATACCCCCATGCCGTCACTTGATTATATTGTGTAAATAGTGTAAGTATAATATTTCGTGCGACATGCAATTTAAAATAAAATAAAAGACTAAAGTAACCCATCCTTCCCTCAAAAGGAGTTAGAAATTTTCCCAAGAATATAATGTTTCACGTCAAGAATGTATATGTATAATAGCGCATATGAACCTACGACGTAAAGATTGGCAGGACGTTCCTTAAACCATTGGCTTGGAGATCAGGTGGCTCGCATCAACTTATAAAAATACTAATAATCTTTCTTTACCTTTAGAAGCCTTGCTTGTAAAATAATAAATATTTCACATAATAGAAGAATTTATCATAGAACGTATATGTATACAACACGTACTCCAAGCGGGATCAATGAAACTGGGTCGGAAACTTAAACTTTAATAAAAACTTAATTATGTAAAAATAAATGTTGTGTGAAGCCTCTTCAGTTAGAAATAATAAAAACCTAAAATCTACTTGCTATTGAATAATGATAAAATAAGTAAAAACCGTTAAAGTAACAATAGCAATGGAATAATAAAAATCATTACTATTGCATTCATACTCTCATGTCCGTCACCCAGAGGGAATGCCAGAGACTACGCAATCTCATTTGGCATGATTCTGATTCCTAACAGAACCTCTCTTGCTTCTTCAACTTCTTTCTTCAAAACTTCTTATATTATGCATACATGCACGTCAGTTAAAGGCACTTTTAATTTTGTACATCATCAATATATCGCCAATTTTGACAATAAACTTTTGTCTGGATAAACCCTTGCTGAATCTGCCACGCACATTCTCAGCATAAATTCGCTTTGTCATTATTTCTTTATTCATTTTTCTTGTTATCCAGTCTGCCAAAGCATGCCTTTCTTAATCCTGGTCACAACATTGTCTTGCAAAATTTCATTCAAATTCATTCATTTCTTACGATGTCATACCTCGTCGGTCTCTACGATTCTCGTCGCCCACATACGAAACACAGCAGAATTATGCTGCCATTTGAAGCTGGTACTCAAAAAAAAAAAGTTATTTTGTCCGAAGCATTTTATGAGTTTGGTCCTTACCCTGACAAGTCGACCTATTTGTGCTGTATCCGTAATACAGCTGCAGCGTGGCTACAGCTGTACTACACTTTGTAGCCCTATATAATTATGGTAACGAAATACAATAATAAATAATATTATCTGTAAAAGTTTTTATTTATCATGATTAATAAAAATGCTTGTTCAAAACATAAACAGAAAAACGTATTTCAAACATATGTTCAAAATTATAAAAACATTATTCGTCAAATACACAAGTCTTTAGTAAAATAGATGTAACACGATATGGGTCAGCATTAGCAGCGGGGCGCCGGTCTTCAAGATAACCTCGTTTGTCTTCTGACACTTGACGGGGTATCCTAACAGCACAATTGCGATTAGCAACACCTGAAATTAATAATCGAGTATAAAATAAACACGTAAACGTACTCGACTCTTATTTTTATCATTTGTATTTCCTATTTCTATCTCCTTTATTACCCAACATTTTTGTTATACACTGCTTCCATACTATTGTGTACTATAGGAATTTCTCCGGCCGCCAATACGATATATTAAATACCGATTCAAATTTCAAATAGTGATATATCCAACTAGCTTTTGGTGTGTAAGGTCTTTTTTTGCTTATGTTTTTAAAAATAACTTTCTATAGAATGAAAATAATCAATTACCAGCGGTAAAATCTCTTATATGGGGCATTCCGTGTTTTCCAGTAAGTCGACATGCATTATCGGCTCCATTATTAGCGTCATACTCATTAATATGGACGCCATGACGTCGCGCTAATTTATCTATTGCTCGCTCAATTACTCTGAAAGGTAATTAACACTGATTTACAATTAAATATTATACCAATATTATAACAACAATTTAATAAAATTTGTTCCTATTAGTGACAGAAAGCTGCCATATAGTAATTTTATGCCTTACAGTAAATTTAGATCTTATGAAGAAACTTCTATTATCTTCTTCTATTTGCTACAGAAATACCTCAGACATCAAACGAAAATATTTTCACTAACCATTTATTTTATAACATGTTATATATATTGTGATATAACTTTATATGAATAAAAATCTACTTAAGTTTTAAAGTTAATATTGTGAAAGCGAACTTTTCTCGTTGATGGTTGTTAGGTGACAATTATTTTAGATACTTACAAAATACCATCTTCTTCCCTCATATCTTTGGTAGAGAAATAAACAAATGTGCCGTTGCCTGGCCAGTCCGGTACAGGCTGAGGGTCAAAACTGGCTACAACACCGTACTCTTCAGCCAATCTTGATAGAATATAGCGTGCCATCCATAAATCATCAGCTGAACGTATACCTGGACTTGGGCCGACCTGCATATATATTATTGATTATTAATTAATTACTGTTTTTTAAAAATATTTCATATATTGTACCTACACATTTCAATTTTACGTCATTTTATACTATTAATTGTCATAGCATATACTTTGAAATTGTCATCATTATGTTATTTCCGAATGCTTAAAGAACTCTCAATTTTTACTAGAATACAAATAAAATATTACTTATGATAGTAGTATTAAGCAACAGCATTTGTCACACTTTTATAAAGAGATATGGATTAGAAATCACTTCCTAAAATATGGTTTTATTTATTGTTACAGCCTATTAAAATGGGGCACACATTCCACAGTTGCCACGGTTGGCAAGCAGGTTGGTAACCGTAATTTGTTTTTAGTTGTTATCAGGAAGATGCAGATTAACTATCAGTATTTATGCCAATTTATATTTCTTGAAGCAGCATGCAGCTTGCAGCGCGCCGGACATTTCCTTGCCCTAAAACCCTCTTACAAATAAGTGGAGGCTTGTGCCCAGCAGTGGGACGGACATAGGTTGCAACTTTAATTTTTATATTTCTTGAAAATGTACTCTATTTAGCAAAAACAAACCTGAAAATTCCATTGTGAAGGAGTTGCCCCAGGGTTAATTCCATTAATTTTAACACCCGCAAAAAGACAGCATCTGAAAAATTAATAACGCTTTTAGCATCAGCTTCCTACGTGGTAGAGCCATGCTGCAGCTATATTAATAGTATAGTTGTAGTACGAATGGGTCGGCTCGACCGGGGAAGGACCACGCTCTCACAGAATACCAGCGTAAAATAGCAGCTTAACGCTGCTGTGTTTCGTATGGAGAGTGTAGAGAACCGGAGACCCTTTTTACTGGACAACAGGCATTCCATCTTAGTCCTCACGGGTGAAAACGCATCTGCAATTTGATTCTATATAGAGGATAGATGTAGATGTCTATGGGTCACAGCAACCACTTACAATTAGGTAGACTGTTTGCTCGTTTGTCACCCTATCCTATAAAAAAATCATATTTTTCATACACGTTATATTATTTATTTTCATCCTTTTTTTCAGCGGATAATGTAATGGTAACATTTTCTTTAGACTCTTCATTATTTTTTCTCATCTTATGTTATTAGTATTGGAAAAAAGGAACTTTTGATAAGCAGAACAACACTAACAGACTAGACAAATTTAAAGGAAGCCTTGCTCTTACAACTTTTTCGGTTTAAATCAGTCTTTATCATAAAAATAAGTCCCATAGCTGCGTCGCCGCCACAGTCTTTGTGTAATGTAACATTTGTTGACAAGTTTCATACTTTACATTTTAACATTAAATGCATTAAATTATTTTTTTTAATTAATTTTTACTAAATTCATTTTTAGCCCGCATATTTCCACGAAACTTCTTTCTTGAAAGTCTGTTTAAGCCTGAAACTAATTATAACCACTTTTTGTAATAAGACGGTGTGTGTTTAATTAAAGTTATCTTAGCCTTTACTTTTAGGGTTTCACTTTCATACGAATAGAAAAAAGAAACCAGATGGTTTCTTTTTTCTATTCGTATCAAGGTTACGCCTACGCTTATAATTTTGTCTTAGTCTTCTTTTTAACAAACGTTGACTCATATAATTATAAGCAATTATACTATTGTTTGATGCGATAATACAGACTGTATATTTTTGCCTGCTTGAGTGAAATATTTGTTTAAAATCTTTAGTTTTATATTCTTTTAAGTGATGAAAAGAGTTCAAGCAAATTTTCTACCACTTGAAGTAGAATTTCTTCATACCGTATAATCTCAAAGTGCTACCCCCAGAATTATGTAGATAAAAGTGTATTATTTTTGTAACGGCACTTACTGCTTTAAAGTTTTTGCTGTAACTATGTTTAATTAATTAGAAAGAAATTAATAATTGTGTAGCTAGTTCGTATCAATTGCTACAGTACGTACTTTCATAAAGACTCGCTTCGCTTATATATTTTTAACAAAAATTAAAAACGGGTTTTTAATATCGTACATAAAAGTACAAAATAATTACGTGGTACAGGCACACAAGAGTGATTATGGCTCCATCGTAACATAATCCTGTAGTGTTTCGTATGGCGTTTGACGAGAATAAAGGAATCTTTTCACTGGTAACGATGCATACCATATTAATTCTCAGGGTGAAAACACATCTACAAATTAATTCTTAATAGAGGATAGATGTAGATGTCTATGGGCCTAATAATCTACTTACCACCATCGAGTGAACTGTGCTCGTTTATCACATTTACTTCTATAAAAAAATAACGAAAATTGAACCTTACAATTGTTAAATTTCAAAAACTTATTTTCATATACTATAACATCAAATATTTATATTCAAACGTGGTAGAGCTATGCTGCAGCTATTGTATAGTTGTTTTACGAATGCGTCGGCTCGAGCGGGGAAAGACCACACTCTCACAGGATACCAGCGTCAAATAGCAGCTTAACACTGCTGTGTTTTGTACGGTGAGTGTAGAGAACCGGGTACCCGTTTTATTGTAAAAGAGGCATTCCATCTTAGTCCTCATGGCTGACAACGCATCTGCATTTTGATTTGAAAACGAAGATAGATGTAGTTATCTATGGGCTACAGCAACCACTTACCATCAGGTGGACTGTGTGCTCGCTATAAAAAAATATTCCAGTAAGAGACTTAAATAGTTCTTTTTCTATTAGAATATCTGTAAAATCATACCGAAAAAACGCTTCCATTAAATCTCTTGCTACTATTTTGTTGGCCCCGATAGCGCAATAATAAGGGCCTGGTGGGGCGGGGTATCCCCCGGGGGGCCAACCAAGTGGCCTACCGTCGGTTGTAGTAAAGAAAAATTCTTGATTAAATCCAAACCAAGGTTCTTCCACGTCACCCTTCTCGCACAACATTACGCAATTTTTTCGATAGTTTGTCTCTATAGATAATTGCCATAAAGCAAATTAATAAAACGGTTATATTTTGATATAAAAATAATTCCAATAATTATATCATTTTAGTTTATAGTTTGTTGTTGATACACAAATTGTACCAAACAGTAAAATTAACGGTCCGCTTTTGTACATTTTTTGCTTGTTTTAGGTGTCACTTGAAATGCACGTAAAGTGTTGTCTATTTTTCTTTGTTAATCTGAACAATTATAAAATTTTTCTATCTACTTGCAAAGGTATACGCCGACGACCGCTAATCTACATCTACACTTCTACATCTACATCTACACTATTATACTATTATAAAGAGAAAAGATTTGTTTGTTTGTTTGAATTGAATAGGCTCCGAAACTATTCGACCGATTTGAAAAATTCTTTCACCATTAGAATCCTACATTATCCCTGATGAACATAGGATATGTAATATTTTCAAAAAAGTTAGGGATCCGTATGAAAACTTCGTTAATGTAACCCAAGGTGTAAAAAAAATACCAAAAGGAATCCTTATATCGCGTACGCTGCGGAAACTATTGATAATAGAGCAAAGTAATGTACTTCAGTTTTACAGAGGATATCAATATCTACAAATAAGCTTGCGATACCATATGTTTAACTATTACAGTTGCGTCACAATAACTATTTTTTCATGTTAAAATGTGAAATAGTAACGCCGGTACAAATACTACTAATACGTACTGATACGAATAATGTGGCCTAGACATTATTCGTATCAGTACCTGTATCATGCATAACCACCAATTACGTTAACCATGTAATTTTAGTAACATATTTCACTTTTTAAATCTTTGTTAATTCAGCAACCGTCCGTCGTGATGTCTCTCTCGAAGTTCGCATTCCCAAGGCGCAGACGCGTGATATACGCGAGTGAAACCGCGGGGCACAGCTAGTATTAATCTAAAAGGACTTTGAATAAATCTATTTTTTACGGATTTTATCGCGTTTAATTTTACTATTTTAATTCCCGACGTTTCGGGTGCTTTACAGCAACCCATGGTCACGGGGGACTGAGATGTTTGACGTCCCGATGCCCGGCTACCTTCAGTTTTTTTAAATTAATTTTTGGTTCGATTTACGCAGAATGAACTTACAGTATCTTGAAGTCTAGCAGTGGTATGCTTGGGTTTGGATTTAATTTTGTTAATTGTAGGATCCCAAGCAGATAGCAGCACCCATCCATCTTCCGTATTGAAATTAGGATGTTTTTTAATTTCAATAGCCTCGCGTATCATCCTTGGTAGGAATCGGTGTTCTTTTGCGAGGATTTGTGATCTATCAAATCTGATGTAATGGCGGGGGCGATCTTGAACATGTTCACAGACTGCAGACTTCTAAAAGGACTTTCGACTTTAAGCGATTTGGTAGAATAGTGGTTGGAATCCGAATAGAACATGTATTTCTATCGCCTACAAATAATTGTTCTGGATCTTTATTTATATTCGCAATTTATTTATGTAACGTATATACGTGGTAGAGCCACGCTGCAGCTATATTATGATTGTACTACGAATGGGTCTGCTCGCGCACGGCAGGACCACGCTCTCACAGAATACCAGCGTAAAATAGCAGCTTAACTGTGTTTCGTATGGTGAGTGTAGAGAACCGTAGACCCTTTTTACTGGAAACGAGGCATTCCATCTTAGTCCTCAGGGGTGATAATGCATATGCATTTTGATTTTCAACCGAGGTCAAAAAGAATTGTGTGCTCGCTTTTCACCCTTATTCTGTAAAACAATATGAAAAACGCTTATATGATACAGGAGAAAATCCTAGTGTCTACTATCTCTAATCTACTACTACTATCCACTACCACTTTCTACTACTCTCTACTTATATTCATACTTGGTAGAGCCATGCTGCAGCTATATTAATAGTATAATTGTAGCTGGAATAAGTCGGCTAGACCGGGGAAGGACCACGCTTTCACAGAATACCAGAGTAAAATAGCAACTTAAAACTGCTGTGTTTTGTATGGTGAGCGTAGAAAACCGGGGACCCTTTTTTACTGGAAACGAGGCATTCCATCTTAGTCCTCACGGGTGACAACGCAACTGCATTTTGATTTGCAAACATGGATAGATGTAGATATATATTGGCCACAGTAACCACTTACCATCAGGTGGACTGTGTGCTCGTTTGTCACCCTTATACTATAAGAAAATCAACAAAACAGCAGACAGACATACTATTAGATATAAAGAATGACAACGCAGTAGTATGATGACGTTTAAGCGTTTAAAAAAATATTTTCAATTATTAATATGGAGCCCTCCCAAGTGTACAAAGTTTTTTACTATAATCGTTGGCATTTTAATACATCAAAGATTTGGTCTAAGCGAAAAAGTTTTAAGTGAGTTGTTATAAAACAATAATAAGTTCTGTTGGTAAAAGTTAAATCTCAACGTTATTAAAAGGGTATATTCTATTAATATTTTATTACTTAATTCATAATAAATTATAATTTATTATTTTTTTAAGTTTTAAACTTTTTAAATCCTAACCTTACACAAAACAGGAATAATTTAAATAGCTATATAAAATTCGAAAAACAATGTTGTAATTAATAAGTTATAACCCACGTGTAGGTTCGTAGTTGTTCTGATACGTATCAGATAGTACTATAATGTGACTGCCACGTCGAAATGGATCGTGATAAATCACTTCAGGGAAAATGAACGTGTCTGAGTTTTCAGGATTAGCTTGTGCTGTATTACTGCCATCATAATACCAAATTGGCAAATCTGCAAGTAATGACGATGTTACATTAAAAATCTTAAAAATATACTTTATTTAAATTACAATAAATCAACATCTTTATTAAGATAAAGGGTTCTTTTGTGACTTTACAAATTTATATTATAGACAGTTATTTCAAAAATTCAAATTTAGTAGGAACAACATTTTCTTTTCTTCTTGGAAAAGATACTTTAATACTATATTTGTTTTATTTTTATTTCTTTATTTTTAATTATGCAACCTACGAAGCAGTGGTGGGAAAACCTTCTCCTACGCGGACGACACGGCCATCGTTTACATTGGGGACTCGTGGGAAGAAGTATGCAATAATGCCGAGCAAGGATTAGTTGTTATAGATAGATGGCTGAAAGCCAGTCTGTTAACCATTAATGTGATTAAAACGAACTACATTTGTTTTTCTCCTAGTTTAAGGTCTAAACCAGGCCTCAATTTTAAAATTAGAATACACACGTGTGCGGACCACTTGAACCATAATTGTAATTGCCAGGTCCTTAAACATATAACGTCCACAAGATACTTGGGAATTATAGTTGACCAATGTTTAACTTGGCATTCGCATATTGAGATTGTTACATCACGGGTGCGCAAATTTATATGGATTTTTAAAAGTTTAAGATATGTGATGCCTCAGAAGACACTAAATAGCATCTATATTATGTTTACGCAATCAGTTCTTACATATTGTTTACCAGTCTGGGGAGGAGCCACTAAAACTAAATTCCTTGAGTTAGAAAGAGCCCAAAGGTCACTTATAAAAGTCATGTACTATAAACCATACAGATACCTCACCGACGATATATATAGAATCAGTGGCTTACTTTCAATTAGAAAACTATATTACTTAATTACGGTCCTATACTTACAAAAATCTATTCCATTTAACCAAGATAGTCAAGAGAGGAGACGAAAAGACATAGTGGCTTACTCCCTAAGGGTCCGAACCGCTTTTGTACGGCGTCAGTATGCAACCCAATCAGTCTACATTTATAATAAAATAAACGTAAAATTAAAGTTTCACGATGAGGTATCACACGTATGCAAAAAGGTAATAACTGAGAGGTTAAAAACCTTAACATACGAAGAAACTGAACAAATTTTAGATAGACTTAGTTAAGCAATTTTTTTTTTCTTCTTTCTTATCAATAATGTATGTAGTCACCGAGCTTAGACTATTACATGCACTTCGAACACACCGGCACTACAAAGAAGACACACATTCACACACATAAACGCACACACACACACACACACACACACACACGCGCGCGCGCGCACGCACGCACGCACGCACGCACGCACGCACGCACGCACGCACGCACGCACGCACGTTTAAAAACAAGATGCACTACAGTTTCACACAGGCGTACAATTACAGTTACACAAAGAGCTAATAATTACTTTATAAGTCACTTACTGTTATTTTTTCTTCATAAATTTATCTTTACTTACGTCTTGTATAATAGTCTAAATATTGTTAATAATTAAGGGAAAGAGCGAGATAGCCCCAACACAAGTATTATCAATTACTTACTGGGGATGTCTCATTTATAATTCATGTAACTGTTTTGAGACAAATAAACATTTTCATTTTCATTTTCATTTTCATTTTCATATTAAGTAAAATTATGTTGCTGATATAATATTCAACTTCATTGTTATCCTTACAGTGCATTCACATCTATGGCTAAATATATCCCTCATCATAGGCCTAAAGATTATCACAAAGCACAGTCCTAAAGCACCTATCTAGACGAAGAAATAAGCCGCAATATTTCGAATGCAGTCCAGTTAAATTGAACGAATTGATCGACTTCTTGGCTAAAGATGGTTTTATCTAGCCGAATACTTTTTCCAAAGTAAACATATTTATCAACGAACTGTATAACTATACTACACGTAACTTCAGGCAAAAGGCTGAGTGTGATATGGGCGTCGGATACGATCTTCGCCCTATTGATGTTCATCTTATGATATACAAATTCAAAGACAATTTAAAGGTCAATCAGCATATCACCTAGCGATTGATCATGTAGAAAGAATGAACGATGAAAGAGTGACAAAGCAAATTTATGTTGCAGAAGTGAACTACCCTTAACCGACTTGATTTGAAGTATCTTTAACCGACGGGCAAGTATTCGTAGATATATGGATGTAAAGGAGGCGAGAGAGGTGTGTCAAAATCGTGCCAAATGGCAGTCCATAATCTCTGCCTACCCCTTTGGGTGACAGGCGTGAGTGTTTATGTTATGTTAACTAGCGATTTATCTACATCTTTCTCTTTAAAGTTGAACTCTGGGTGTGCTTAGCTTAAAATATCGATAGTAAACTTTTATTTTTTAAATTATTAAATGTCTACTCTAAACCAAATGATTTCTCATAGTCAACATTCACCAGAATAATGATAACAAATAACTTTACTCCTTTATATGGTTTGGTATTATAACTTCTTAAGAAAAATGCTTATCCAGAAGGCTAGAAGTCAAAAAGTATGCGAAATCAGAAGCTCATCAAGAAAATCTTGTTTTAACATGTATTTATACCTTTATGCGTTTTGGGTAGAAAGTCAAATGTTCTGTCCTTGGAGCGCATGTTAATCCCGGAACCGTCCACCCAGACGTATGTTGCTAAAATAGCATCGCAAGGTACTTCAAGATCCTCATACTTCCGCATCGCAGCTTTATTTAAAACAATCGGCACCGAATTCATTGTCGTTGTAAAATTAAAAGCAAATATTTGATAATTTAACACTTTTAAAGTTATATTTTTCTTAGTTACGTGAAATGCCTAACAATGTATTGATCTAAAAATCTTTAAATAACTTGCATAAATTTAATTGTCCATAAATAAGTTTTCTACTGCGTTAATTTAAAATCTGACATTTTCAACAGAACTTACATTATATACATAATAATCTAGGTTACATTGATTTACATCAATGAGACATGAGACTGAGACCATAGCTGATTGATGTTATTTTTGAAAGTTTGTTCCACATCTTTGTCAATATTTGAAAAATATCATTGTAGCTAAAACATATTGATTATATACTCTTTGATTGCAGCAAAATCACAGACACGTAGTGATTATCTGTGATTATCTGTGATTATATTCATAAAATGTACTCTGACTATCGGTAAAAGGCTGATTTAATAAAAATAAAAATGCATATTGTCTTCTCATCCCGATCGCAGTTTTACTCGCCCCGCACACAACCATAATACTTTTTTTCTCGTCTTCAGAAAGCCCGTACAATTTTTTTTATAGGAAAAGGATGACAAACGAGCACACAGTCCACCCGATGGCAAGTGGTTGCTGCGGCCCATAGACATCTACATCTATCCTCTATTATAAATCACAATGTAGATGCGTTGTTACCCGTGAGGACTAAGATGGAATGCCTCATTTCCAGTAAAAAGGGCCTCCGGCCACCTGCACTCACCAAGCGAAACGCAGAGGTAAACCTCTACTTCACGCTGGTTTTCTGTGAGGTCGTGGTACCACCCCGGTTCGAGCCGGCCCATCCGTGTGACAGCAAAAGCTGCCGCGTGGCTCTACCACTGTTAGAATGCAGACTTCATATAAACAACAAACAAATATTTATTTTGGCCGCAATAATAAACATCAGACTTAAAATGCATTGAACAGAGCTTCGAAGATACTTTGAAATATTTAATTTGCAATGGTTTACTATCATGATTTTCTTTACTAGGATTTAGAGGTTTAGAAAATAAATGCTTTACTTCTCTTTAAAACTTTAGAAAATACTTAGCTTTAAATCTTCAGAAAATAATCGAGTTCTTTTATTCTTACAATTTGAAGCGCAACAACGATTATTTATCGGGGGACTTAAATGATATAGTGATTATTTACTCTTTGCAGGAGACGTCAAAGCATGTCAAAACCCGCTCATTATCCTGAGGTCAAACGCCTTTAAATCAGTTGTTAATTTTAAATTAAAAATTTAACAGTTTACGAGTTTATTTTCACTAAATAATTGTAATTCAAAATGTTGAAATATGAAATTAAAAAGCAATAACAAGTAACTAATACAATCATATTCCAGAACATACATGTACTTCATTTATTTTTTAACTTGAGTTTTAATAATGAAGCACATTTACCAAATTTGCTTTTTTGTGTTGATTTGTTTGTGTCAGAATGCTTTGTTTAGTGGGCTTGATAATATAAATACTTCGATCAATCGAATATTTGAATTATATTCTCAAAATATTGATCCTATTAAAAATGAACGTAAACATCCACTAATGTCAACCATTTCATCGACTGGGAAAAAGTCTCAAGTGGAACAAGTAAGTAAAAAACAGTACGAAATAGTCAACATGTTGTGGAGAAAATCAAAAATGGATGCAGATAGTACAACCATTTGCACGATACCTCAAAAAGAAATTCGCTCTGAAGAGAAAACAAGTTTTACTTTAAATTCGCAAGACGGTATTAAGCACATCGTCCGTAGGTCACTTTTCAAATTCCAGTCACCTACACCGAGCTATATTGAATTTTACTATTTGGATGAGTTTGGTGATAAAGGAACAAGATTGGATACCAAATCTTTTATGCCGCACAAACAGTATACAGATTCTAAACCTTTAGAAAGTAAATATTTAGATACTTTAAAAACTAGAACATTGCAGCGGCCTATTTTTGTATTTCACGTCCGCAATCGCAGCATTAATCAAGTTGGTAAAGACTCCCGTAACTTACATATAAACAAGCAAATAAACAATTCTCCAGAATCATGTATTTATTTTAATCAAAGCCAACTATGTCGAAAGATGTCAAATAATTCTACGTACATGCCTCACGATTTAATGAACGCATCAAAAATATTTTCTAGTGATATGAAAACAAAAAATAACAAGACGCAGTGGTTAAGTATATATTTTAATGATTCTATGAGACGATTGAAATCACCAAGTTTTAATAAGGCCGAAATACCATTGAAAGCTACAACAATTTATGATAAAATAAAGTTTTTTGAAATATATGATAATAACACTGTTATGCCCAGTAGCCTGACACAAGTTCTTAACAGACAGTTAGGTAGTAATCACCAAAAGAAAACACTCCAGAACAAACATAAGGAATTTCTTGCATTAGAATATCTTGATGATAGAAAAAATATAACAAAGAAAGACTATGCCGTCAATATATCACGAAATATATTAAAATTTGAAAATTACACAAATTCTAATTCAAAAAGAAATAAACATTATGTAAACAAAAAACGAAACATATCAAAAAATGCCACTGAAAATTATAATTCAAAAATATCGGAACTTCAAGGTGTAAATAAGTCAGATCATCAAAATAGAGAAAAGACCATAGTTTGGCTCAAGTATCCTTACATTTCTGCTTACATTTACGAACCATTGTCGGTGAGTTATAATAGATTTTAATTTCAGTGAATTATTCGCTAACTGGTTTTTTATTAATATTTTATATTTTTATTGCGAAAAATTTAATTAAATATAGGGACAGACCTCAGAGTGTGAATCGGTAGTATAGAGATGAGGACGGACAGAATTTATAGTTAGTTTATTTATAGTTAGCGGGTTAGGTACTGAAACATCCAACTTTACCTATGCAGCATTCGGACTCATTCACTAAATATATATTTTAGAGATTAAGTACTTAAGTACGACTAAAGCTCTAAGCGAATGATACGTGCAAGAAATCGGTGGCTGAAGACCGTGCATTGTGGCAGCCTTTGGGAGAAGCCTAGTTTCAGCGGTAGCTTGTGATGGTCTGTAATGATAGTGTCGAAAAAATATTCCAATATTATTTCTAATTCTCTGCTGAATATTATTAAGTCTTTCAAAATATACGTTAGCTGGTACGTCTTACGTTCACTTGTGTTGTTAATTGATAAAGAAGTTCCTTTGTAGCTACTTACATCTCATTAAATTCTAATCAAAGTACATTTTATTACTTTGTTCATTCATTAATAATAATTGAATTGCATAAAAACAGTTTTCAAGTAAAATTTTATTATTTCATATACTTTCTACTCACGATATTAGAAAATAAAATCTTATGCTAAAATTTAAAAAAAAAATCAGTAAAACGTTAAATTTCAGATTTATTGTGATGCTGCTGCCTTAAGTAGTCATTGGTTAATTGCATCAGGGTCATGTTTATCCCGCCGTCACAAGAGCACTTTAATCGACGGACGGTCCGCTTATGTTGCTTACTGTAGTGATAACTGGTGGCAATCAGATGTAGTGGCCTATGTTCGAAGAAGTTTAGTGCATCCTGGGTACCATCATCGCGATAAAACACAACGACATTATTATAATATAGGTATGCATATGAAAGTGTTTTTGTCCACTATCATTTAGTTATTATAATAGAAATGATTAAATACACAAAACATAATAAAATGCCACAATTTATGTAGTGTATATATGTGTTACAACTTATATTCCAAATTCAACCTCAGTTATAATTAATCTATGTACCTTGTTAATTAACACACAAGATTCTGGAAACCAAAACAACCTACCTAAATAGTCGATTCGCAAAAGACAAACCTAATTAGCACACATTGGTGATAAGTGCCAGAATTTCCAGAGCAAGTATATTCATTCGCTCTGTGTTCCTTAACCTGCGTAACATGCAATTTTTCTTTAAAGAAATGCATATGCCAGTTAACGCGTCCTACAAATCCCCTATATTCAGCACTGGATTAAGAATTACTCATAAGGTCAGTGATTTTTTTTTATACAAATACAGATGCTAGATAACTCTAATGCAATAGCTATGATACATTTTTAAAACTTTAGAAAGGTTGTCATATTTTCAGCATGCTAGGACAAAATTACAAGAAAAACAAGATTTTGTATATATGTAAATACGCAAGTTCTCTCTGTCACGTATAGTGACAATTTATATTGTAGAGTAAATTTTAATAAACAATTTTATGATAATATTGATGTTTTGAAAGTTAAAATATTTAAACAAGCTTTAAACTTTCTTGCTCTTAATTAGTGTGTTATTTACCTTCTGTCGTAGCCACATTTCGTATACACAAAGACCTATGTGATAATGATACATTCTATTTATTTAATACAATTGGATCAAATAGACAATCGTGAACACAAGTTCAGTATTTAATTTTAGTCTAATAAATGCAAAATATATTCATAAAAACACATTTTTCACAGGAATTATTCAGGTAATTAGTCCTTTGATAAACAGCTGCTCTCGCTGGGCACCCGTTTCTCTAGTTTCACATAAAATCACAATCAATGAAAAGGGACTTCCAGCTATGGCTATTGGATGGGGACTTGACAGGTATGGGGTATATATTACAATCATTTATTTTAATAATAATTTTGTTACATATTTTAAGAAGTATATGTATTTATTTTTCAAACTAATGTCGCAATGAAAAAGCTGACTTATTAACAAATTCCAAATCCCTTTTACGTAAAGCTGTTCTAACTTATTTTAATATTGCTAACACAGCAATCACTTTTCGGTATTATCTCAGGAGTTCATCATTTTTATAGTCCTTTAGGGTATACTATGTCAATTACACTGGCATTTAGAGCATATAATCGAGTATTGATACATTGGTCTCACAGAAAACCAGCGTAAAATAGCAGCTTTATGCTGCTGTGTTTCGTATGGTGAGTGTAGAGAACCGGAGACCCTTTTTACTGGCATAGAGGCATTCCATCTTA